ATGAACAACAAATACACATTTGTCAACAAGTGAATCTAAAAATCAAGTGAATAAATAATCTGATGACCAGAATGAAGTGGTGATTATAATAGAATCAGGGGCATAGAAAGGGAGTGGACTGACTATTCTTGCGGGGGAAAGGAGTGAGGAGTATGCGGGAAGAGACTGGACAAAAATCGTGCAGCTATGGATGAGGACAGTGGGTGGAGAGTGAGGGCAGAGGGTGGGGCAGGAACTGGGAGGAAGGGAATTATGGGGGGAAAAAAGAGGAACAAATGCAATAATCTGAACAATAAAGATTAAATTTAAAAAAAAAGAGAGAGACAAAGAAAGTCATTACATAATACTAAAGGGATCAATCCAACAGGAGGATATAACCCTGACAAACATATAAGCACACACTACAGGAGCACCTAAATATATTACAGAAACTCTTGGAGGATAGGGGAGAGATCGACAGCAATACATAATAGTGACATTAACACCCTACTGACATCAATGGATACATCTTCAATACAAAAAATCAACAAGGAAACAGAGACCTTAAATGGCACACTAGATCAGATCAAATATCAAGTCATTAATATTTACAGAACATTTCATCCCAAAGCCGAAGAATATTCATTATTCTGAAGTGCACATGGAACATTCTCAAAGATAGATCACATGTTAGAACACAAAATAAGTCTTAACAAATTCAAGAAGATTGAAATCATATCAAGGATCTTCTTGAATCACAATCGCATGAAACTAGAAATCAACTACAATGGAAACACTCAAAATAATTCAAACCCATGGAGGCTAAACAGCATGTTATTAAACGATAAATAGGTTATGAATAAGATGAAGGAAGAAATTATAAACTTCCTACAAACAAATAAAAGGGAACATGTAACAAGCCAAAATCTATGAGACACAGAGAAAGCAGTTCTGAGAGGGAAATTCATAGCATTGTAGGCCTACCTCTAGAAATAAGAAAAGTCTCAAATAAACAATCTAACCCTACAAAAGAACTAGAAAAAGAACAACAAACAAATCTCAGGGTAAGTAGAAGGAACGAAATAATGAAGATTAGAGTGGAAATAAATGACATAGAGATTTAAAAAATACAAAAGATCAATGAAACAAAGAGCTGGTTTTGAAAAGATAAACAAGATTGATGAACCTTTAGTCAGACTCATCAAGAAAGAAAGAGAATGCACCCAAATAAATAAAATCAGAAATAAAACAAGTGAAGTTAAAACTGACATCACAGAAATGCAAAGGATAGTAAGAGAATACTATGGAAAACTATTTCCCAACAAATTAGACAAATTGGGAAAAATGGACAAATTTTATAAACATACAATATTCCAAACTTAATCAAGAAGAATCAGAAAACCTGAATAGACCAATAATAAGTAATGAAATTGAAGCAGTAATCAAGAAACTAGCAAATAAAATTCCTGGACTGGATGGATTCACAGGTGAGTTTTACCAAATGTTCAAAGAAGAATACCTATCCTCCTCAAACTATTCCAAAACTTCAAGAAGAAGGAAGACTTCCAAGTTCTTCTTATGAAGCCAGCATTATCCTAATTTCTAAACCACATAAAGACACTACACAGCAAGGACATTATAGGCCAATATTCCTGATTAACATAGATGCTAAAATTCTCAACAAAATATTAGCAAATTGGGTCCAGCAATACATTAAAAAGATCATACACCATGACCAAGTGGGGTTTATTCTGGGGATACAAGGCTGGTACAATATTCGCAAATTAATGAATGTGATACATCACATAAACATAATAAAGAATAAAAATCACATGATCATATCAATCTATGCAAAAAAGGTATTTGACAAAATCCAGCACCAATTTATGATAAAAACTCTCAGAAAAGTGTGACTAGATAGATCATACTGCAACATAATAAAGATCCTATATGACAAAACTACAGCCAACATCGTACTCAATGGGTAAAAACTAAAACCATTTCCTCTAAGATCAGGAACAAGACAGGGATGTCCGCTTGCACCACTCGTATTCAACTAAGTACTGGAAGTCCTAGCCACAGCAGTCAGACAAGAAGAATAAAAGGCATCCAAATTAGAAAAAAAGTAAAATTGTCATTATTCACAGATGATGTGGTATTGTACATAGGAAACCCTAAAGACTCTACCAAAACACTACTGGATTTAATAAATGAATTCAGCAAAGTAGCAGGATTCAGAATTAAAATCCAGAAACTGATGGTATTTTTATACACCAATAATGAATTCTCAGAAAGAGAAATTAGGAAAGTAATCCCACTTACCATTGCAGCAACAAAAAATAAGGTGCCGAGGAATAAATTGAACCAAAGGGACAAAGATCTGTAGTCAGAAAACTACAGGACATTGAAAAAAGAAATGGAGGAAGACACAAACAAGTGGAAGTATATACCGTGCTCACGAATTAATATCATTAAAATGTCCATACTACCCAAAGCAATCTATAGAGTCAATGCAATCCCTATTATAATATCAATGGCATACTTCAAAGTTATGGAACAAATATTCCAAAAATTTCTATTGAACCAAAAAAAAAAAGACCTTGAATGATGTCAGCAATCTTGAGAAGGAAGAACAAAGTCGGAGGAATCACAATTCTTGATATCAAACTATACTACAAAACCATAGTAACAAAAACAGCCTGGTACTGGCACAAGAACAGAGCAGAGACCCCAGAAATCAGCCCGCACCCTGATGGTCAGTTAGTAATTGACAAAGGAGGCCAGAGCATACAGTGGAGTAAAGATAAACGGTGTTGGGAAAATCAGACTGTTACATGCAAAAAAATAAAAGTACTTACACCATACACAAGAATAAACTCAAAATGGACAAAACATTTAAATGTAAGTTGCAAAATCATAAGAATTCTAGAAGAAAACAGGCAATAAAATCTCAGACTTCTCACATAGCAATATTTTCACCAATACATCTCCTAGGGCAAGGGAAACAATAACAATTAAACAAATGGGACTAATCAAAATAAAAGGCTTCTGCACAGCCAGAGCCGCCCACAGAAGGAAAAGGGAGCCGTTGTGTGGAGAACATATGCGCCGGTGATACATCTCATAAGGAATTAGTTTCCAAAATATATAGAGTTCATGAAACTCAACACCAGGAAGACAAACAATCCACCTAAAAATAAGTAAAGGACCAGAATAGACACTTCTCCAAAAAAAAACATACAGGTGACCAATAGACATTTGAAAAAGTGCTCCAAGTCACAAATCATAGGAGAGATAGAAATTAAAACTACAATGAGGCATCACCTCTGTCAGAGACACCGGTCAGTTCTGTGTGGGGCAGACGGGGAAGCCGTGAGAAGTTGTGGGCATATAAGAGTGAGTCTTTGCTGCAGAGCCAGTGGCACAACAGTTCTCACAGCGAAGTCCACACAGCAGGCGGCTGCACACCGGCTGGTGAACAGATACATCTTTCCCACAAAGCAGCGTCCATCTCTGTACCCACAGCTGTTATCTGAGCAGCCGCACGCTGTCCCCTAGACTCACTGCCTCACATCGTAGCTGGCTCAGCAGCGTCTCCTGTCTCCCTGCCCAGCACACTGGCTGGTTAACGTGGCAGCTATAGCTGAGCTCTCTGTGAGCTCTTAGCCTTACATCGTAGCAGTCCCAGCTCTCAGCTCCATCTGAGCTCTCCTCTCTCCTACACACATAGGAGCTACGTTCTCCGTGCCTACCGCACCTCTCTGAGCTCTCTAGACTCTGCTCTGGCCAGCTGCTCTCTCTAGCAGCTCCTGGTCAGTAGCCTGCATATTACTCCAGGGACAGAGAAGGCTGGTTGCCAACAGCGACATCACTCATTTGGCTGCAGAAGGGCACAGTGTATCATGTGTCCTTGCACCCACTCATAGTATCTTGGCCTTGGGCACACCAATTAGGCTCATGCTCAAAACAGCCTTGGTCATTCTGGTGTATTGACAACAAGGCCTTTTTCGCTCCCATTGGCCTTGACTATCTGAGGATCCTGGCGTGGGTCCCACAACCTCACACCTGCCAGAATGGCTACCATTAATAGGTCAACAAACAAGAAGTGCTGGCAAGGATGTGGAGAAAAGGGAACCCTCGTGCATTGCTGGTGGGAATGTAGACTGGTGCAGCCACTGTGGAGAACAGAATGCCGACGTGCAGCCACTGGAAAACAGTATGGAGTTTCCTCAAAAAATTAAAAAATGATACTGACTAGCAATCCCACTTCTGGGAATATATCCTAAGAATCTGGAAACACCAATCAGAGAGAAAGTATGCACCCCTATGTTCATAGCAATGTTACTTACAATAGCTAAGATCTGGAAACAACCCAAGTGCCCATCAGTGGATAAAGAAACTGTGGTACATTTATACCATGGAATACTATGCAGCAGTGAAAAAGCAGGATCTCTTACCCTTTGAGACAGCATGGAGGGACCTGGAGAGCATTATGCTAAGCTAAATAAGCCAGTCAGAGAAAGACAAGTATCACATGATCTCACTCATGTGTGGAATCTAATGAACAAAATAAATCGACAAACAAAATAGGTCCAAAGACAAGGAAGCATGGGACAGACTGATGAATCGCAGAAGGAAGTGGGGAGAGGAGGCAGAAAGAGATTAACCAAAAAACTTATATGCATGTATGCACAACTCATGGACACAAATAATAGTGTGGTAAAGGCCTGGGGTGGGGGGCGGGTGGGAGCCAGTTTGAAGGACATGGGGCGGGGGGCAATCAGGGCATCTATAATACTATCAACAATAAAGATTTTTTAAAGCTGTTATACATTTACACAACGAAATACTATGTAGCTATATATATTTTTTAAAAAGTCTCTCTTACCCTTTGCAACAACATGTATGGACCTGGAGATTATTATGCTAAGCTAGTCAGAGAAAGACAAATATCACATTATCACATTTATATGTGGAATCTAATAAACAAAAGAAATTGACAGCAAAATAGGTCCAGAGGCATGGAAGCGTGGAACAGACTGACACGTGTCAGAGGGGAGAGAAGAAGGGGAACGGAAAGAGATTAACCAAAGAACATGTATGCATAACCCATAGGCACAGATAATAGTGTGTGAAGGCCTGGGGTGTGGGCCAAGTGGAGGTGGGCAAAGGGGAAAAATGGGGGACCTCTGTGATACTGTCAACAATAAAATTAAATAAATAAATATGAATAAATAAGTAAATAAATAAATAAAAATCTTGACAAAAAATAGGCAGACAGGGAGTGATAAGAGAAATAGTAATGTAAGAAAAATTCTAGATTTGAGCAAAAACTCAAGTTTTTGCCCTACCCAGTTTGGCTCAGTGGATAGAGCATCGACCTGCAGACTGAAGAGTCCCAGGTTTGATTCCGGCCAAGGCACATGCCCGGGTTGCGGGCTCCATC